TGATTTTACCATACTTGGAGTATGGTGTTGAAAACTGGGGAAACACATATAAACGCTCACTTCAACCATTGTATATATTACAAAAAAGAGTGATAAGAATTGTGCATAAGATGGGGTATAGGGATCACACCAATGTAGCTTTCATACAGTCTAAATTGTTAAAATTTTTTGATTTAGTGGGATATAAGACTGCTGTGTTTATGTATAAAGCCAGGAACAATTTATTACCTGGTGGAATTCAAAAACTATTTAATGAAAGGGAAGGGGGATACAATTTAAGGGGTCAGTTAAATTTAAAAATTCATGCTATACGTACAACCAAAAAAAGATTTTGTATTTCTATAAGTGGGGTAAAACTATGGAATAATTTAAGTGTAGACATAAAAAATAGTAATAAAATTGATGAGTTTAAACATAAATATAAAGGTATGTGTCAATCAAGATATATGCAAGAACAGGCTTAATGATTAACCAGATGAAACATTGTGGGTGTGGTGTACACTTTGTAATAATTTTTTAGCATATTACTTGTGTGGTGTAGAAGATAATTATTTATGTAGAGATACTGCTTGCAAACCAATGATGTAAGATGATGTCATGGGGTAGGACTGGATAAGTCTGACTTCTTCCTACTCCATTCAAGCATGTACTAGGTATAAGCAAATTGATATTGGATTAGCACTTGTTGGATATGTGTAAAATTATGTGTGTTTACATATCAACTGTCTTTACATGCTTGAAAGAATAAATCAAATCAAATCAAATCTTTCTCCTACAGTAGATGGTGTGTTTACAGGGTGTGGGTGAGGATTGCCTGAGGACTGTGATGAGAAGATATATCAACTGCTGATTCACTATCTAGATCCTTGATTTTCTACCTGGGCGTTATGGACTTTCTGTGGGGTCACAAGCTATTTTAAGGTGGACATCATAAAACGAATGGTGAAATTCATATGTGTGTGTGAATCTGTTGTACGTAATCATTTGAATGGAAGTTGCTTTTTGTTGTGAAATGAATTTTTGGGTGCAATGCTAATAGAAGGATTTTGTTACTACGAGGTGAGACAAGAAATGAAAAATTAATTTGGGTGACATTCACAGCAATTTTTGCAAGGTCATCTACTACTGATCAAATATCAGAAAACAAATCTAAACTAACACATACACACATGCAGACTACAAACAAAAACCTTTTTTTCCTGTCACTAAAAGCCAGAGCTGTTGATGTTGCCCTGATTTCCAGTGATTGTCGAAGCAGTCAGCTGCATTAGGGACACAGGCACACTGCCCTTTATAAATAAAGTTTAACTTGAACTTGACAGACGTTGCACAGAATCTGCAGACTTCAGAAGAGTAGAGAGAAGCTTAGTGGGTAGCTTAGTATTTGTTGACAAGACTTTCACGCAGGCAAAGCTGCCAGAAGCATTAGCATTGAGGTTCATTCAGAAACTGACTTGGCTGTATCTGTGGTTCTTCAATACTGTATATTTTTAAGGCAGTAACTTTACTCCCTTGGTGTCTTTGACTTCAGCCACTGGAGACTTTCATAACGTTTCATCAGTACCTCACCTCCTCTTTAACATGCCTGTCCATGCTGCTCTACAATCCCCTTATCCTTTATCCTTCTGTTACCTAAAGGACCTAAAGGTGTCATTAAAATCATGAATGTGTTATTTTCCCCCTTTGTAGTGCAATGGTTGAAATGTCTTTCCCTTTATTTGTTAGGTGAATGCCGTCATGCCATTTGGATGCCTTGCCCTGCGAGATGGGCGAACATATGATAGCATATCTGATGTCACAGACAAATATGAAATCGGACAGGTCCTCCGAGCGTAAGTACCATGAAGCTTTAAGGATGGATTTTTGCTGCTGTTATTCTTCCCTCACCCATGTAGAATTCATGGACACATTTAAGTATTCTCAACTGTTTGTTTTTTTTAAGTGTCTTCATGAATTATTTCAAATTAAATTTGGTCGGTTTTCACTGAAGATTTGGTTTGGCATATCAATTGATTTCACTGAAGGAATGACAGAAGATAATAGCATGAGGCTAGTGTGTAACAGACTTAAGAGACACACTGTTCAAATTTAGCCAACCAATTATCTGTATATTTTTGATCATGACAGTTCAGAAAATGAAAGTCTAGAATTTATTTTATTTAATTATTCTTTGCCATCTCAAAAAAAAATTGGACATGTTTTCAAAGAGCTGTGAAAATCACTCTGCTGCTTGACTGGCCAAATATTGACCATTTTCTTTTCCTGAATACACACACACACACACACACACACACGCTGTGTTTTCATTCCTTGTGGGTACTTTACATTGACTTGCATTCATTTCCTGCAGACTTATCCTAACCTTAACCATAACCACTACTTGCTAACCCTGACCCTAACCTCACCCTAACCTTAAACCATGTTTCCCCCCTAAAATTCAGTCCCCACAATGTGAGTGTGTTAACATGTTTAGGTCCCCATAATATAAGTAATACAAAGGCACACACACACACAACAATAAGTGTAAGAAGCAGCATCTGGCCTCAGAGAGTTCTGCTTATATTTTATATAAAACACACACACACATTCAGAATTAAGTGCTCACATTGTACATGCGGTGTTAAGGCAGTGTTAATGATAAATGAGTGGTTATTATTTTTCTTCATTTTTCTCTTCTCAGTGTGCATTAACAATCAGTGACCATTACTTCTTTTGTAGAAGCTTTAAACTTAAATTTAAACACAGAAGAACACACACGAAAAAAACTGCTGATAGAAGTAATAGACTCATTTCAGTTTTGTTATTTACAACCCTTCTATTCTATCCAACAACCAAATCAGCCAGTGTACTTTGTCTCTCTAATTTGAATATTATGCTGCATTTCTCTTGGGCTTTCTTCTCAGATGTGATCAACAAGAGAAAGAGATTTTTGTGTGTGTGTTGTCTCTCTAGCATGTACCTACATCTTTCCTCTTTCTTCTATTGTATTACTTACCTTTTCTGTCATTCTCTGTCTGTCTTTGTTTCTGTTTTCTGCTTGCATAGGAAGGAGTTCTGTGAACTGTGCCTGGCTAAGAACAGACAGACAGACAAGGTGTTTGTCTGCAAGAAATTCCTCAAGAAAGATGGCAGGAAAGTCCGCAAGGCTGCCAAGAGCGAGATCATGATCCTCAAATTGTACGCAGTCAGTCCATGGACAGATGGATGCATGATTGCATAATGGAGAAATGCAGAGAGAGGGCAATGAGATTTCTGTTCATATTCCCAGTCATACAATCCATATAATAACTCTGGTTCATATAAACCAAGTTGTTTATAACTTCTGCTTTGCCTGCTTTGCACTGTTTCTGAAGTATCTATCCAGCTAAAGAGGATTACACCCACACAATCTTGTCTGTATATAAGACTTAAGATTTATTCAAAAGCCAAAGAATAGTTGGAACCTGTCATGGCATGTGAGGCCCTTTGCATAGTTACAGTTAATGAATCCTTTTTTCCCATTCCAGGGTCAACCACCCAAACATCCTTCAGCTGATCGATACGTTCGAGACCCGGAAAGAATACTTCATCATCCAGGAGCTGTGAGTGTTTGTTTTAGTGGTTCACCATTTGCCATTCTTGAGTAAGAATTCCTGACAAAGTGTACTTGTGTTTGTGCACCTTAATTGTGTAAGTGCCTTCATGTACCTTAACGCACACAAATCCATCAGCTTGAGGGTAAGGGTTGAGTATGTGCCCTTATTACTGTGTGCTCTGTTGCTCCCCTCAGCAACAGAGGAAGGTGTTAGGTTTGATGAGATATTTACTCTTATTAATACTTGACATTCCTCAGTGCTCCTGAAGCACTGCTTTGCTATAAAAGAGGCTCCACAGAGAACTTAGGATCAATAGGCCCATGCAAGCCCAATCCGCATCACTTGTAACCAGTGCATTTTTCAGTGTTTACAACTTTATTAGCAATAACATTGATTGAAATTTAGTGTCTTCCTTCTGTTGCTAAAATACAGAGAGATGGGCCGTACTCAGTACAGTCATCGCATGTGCATCAGTGTGTTGGTATCTGTTCATAGCTCACACTTTTGTCCAGGCAATAGTCCTCCTGCTGTGCTGAGGGCGATACGTGATGATCACACCCATTTTTTTTTACATTCCAAAGTCGAGCAAGTCTTCTGGAGTAATAATTTTTTATTGCTGAGCAATGCTAGCTTTGGGGCAGTAGAAACAGATTGCCTTATTAATGGACAAATAAACAAGAGCACAGGGCCTTTGATAACCGTGTTAGTGAGAACTTAAAGTGAATTATTGTGGTGCAACAGGTTATTAACAGTCACACCAACTTGTAATGTTTGTACTGATTTTATTATTTTGTGTGTATGCTTGAACACATGCAGTGCGACAGGAGGAGATGTATTTGACTGGATTTTGGACCAGGGGAATTACACAGAGAGAGATGCTTCCAATGTCATCAAACAAGTCCTCGAGGCTGTGGCATACTTACACTCCCTTAACATAGTTCACAGAAACCTCAAGGTACACCCTCTTGTCTTTTCTTCCTCTCCCTACATTATGGGTGAATGCCTTTGTAATTTAAAAAAAACCATTGGAAGACTGGTAACCTATTGCACATCGTAAGCTACAGGAACAAATCTAACAAAAAAGATTTATAGAGAGAGTGGCCCTCTTCACCATTACACCCCAGAAAGCAATGTTTTATATAGCCAACTGATTCTTGGTGAAGAAACAAAAGACTACCATCTCAGTCAGTGAGTCAACATTTGTTGCATTTTTTAAGCAAGGGACTAAACACTGTTATTATGGCCTAATGCAATTTCTATAGAGTGATACACATGCAGACAGATTAATATTTTTTGCCTACATTATCAACCCATTATGATGAAATGACAGCATCTCTTGGGCTTCATGCCCCCCTACTGGTAAAAGCTAGTATTTGCAGGATCTTGACTCATTGTATATCCTGTAAACCTATCAAAATGAATGAAAAGTGCAAAAGTAAAGAAGAATTCATAACGTATAGCCAAGGTGCTTTCTTTACAGGTAGGTGTGTTTCTGGGTAAGGTTTTGCCTTACTCTTTAATGTCATCATTGTCTAGAAATGACATGATTTGTAACATGTTTGATTAAATACATTATGTTAGGAACCTGTTAGCCCTATACTGACAGTTTGTAATTGACTTATCACCTTAAACAAGCCTGAAATGTAAAACCAAGAGTGTGAATTACAAGATCAAAACACAAATACACAACCACTATTCAGTACAGCAACTTCAACTGTCAGTTTTGGTGCCCATGAAGGAATGTTTCTTGCAGTTAGGAGAAACACAAACCAATGTAAAATTCATAAAATAAAAATAAGTCAAATATAACCCACACAGGCTCACATAAAACACTGTGACAGCTGATATAAACCTGGTGTAGATGCAGCCAGTATCATCCCACTTAGCTATCAGTGGTTTAAACATCATGACCATGATCACCCACCAACATAATATGGTAACCTGATTTAAGCTGACTCATCTTGGGCATTTAACAAATTGGTGGAGTGACTGACGAAAAAAATCTCCTCCTGTTAAACATAGTTTTTTGTACGTCTGTCCATAGGAAAGAGGCTGAAACTCCTCATATAGGCAACAAAGAGAACACTCTAAAATGACATGCACATTTGACATGGATACTTTACAGAAAATGTGAGACTAATCAGGCAGTTTATCACCAGTGCTCTTACTAGTTCCCTTGATGCAGCCTGGTCCTGTTATATGCAGCAATAGAAAAGATAATGACTGTCTACCATGGAGTTTCAGAAGAGTGTCATGAGTTATTTTGACACACCCTAAACCAGTCTGATGTGCAATTGGTGGCCCTGAATCTGTTTACGAAACCCATCCCTTAATGACTCTGAATTGCGTGGCTTGATGTGTATTTGTATGAGAGTGTTTATTCTTTCCCTCATTTTGTTTAGTTGGAAAACCTGATGTACTACACAGAAAATAACCACAACAAAGTAGTCCTGCGAGATTTCTACCTATCCAGGTTTGAAAACAGACCTATCACAGAGCCTTGTGGGACACCAGAGTATCTGGGTAAGATATTTTCTGTTTAGCCCTATGTGTGGTTCTGTTTAGCCTTATGTGTGGTTCTGTTTTTATAACTTCTCTCTGTTTCTCCGCCCCCTCATCCTCTTACATATCTGTCCATTAGCTTTATCTTCTGTTGTGAATAGAGACCTGGGGGCATACTTTACCTTTCTGATTTATGTTCTTGTGCTTTTGAAGATGATAATCTGTCAGTGATAAGGTCTTACAGAGAACAAAAAAATGAAACCTAGCAAAATGCACAGAAGTGAAAACATCCAACTCTCACCCTTCTCTTCCCACTCCTCCTCTCTTTTCATCTCCTCTCCTCTCATCTCCTGTTTACTGTCTCACTCCTCCCTCCGAGGTTTATGCGAGGGCATCTTGGATTGCAGAGCAGTGCTTTGGCCGGGTTCTCTCCAGTGAAAGGCCAGGGCAGTTATTCATAATGCTGAGCTGAGAAATTAGACAAATAAATAAGAAAAGAGAACAGAGGCTCTGACGGGAAAGGAATGAGAAAAAAATGAAAAAGTGAGCACTTGTCTGTGCTAGAATTATGAATGTGGTGTGATGGCTTATAAATGAAAACCCTGTCACACTCTCTCTGTGTCTGCTCTTATCTTTGCTGTCTCTCAGCTCCTGAAGTGGTGGCTCGCCATCGATATGGTCGTCCTGTGGACTGTTGGGCTGTGGGTGTGATTATGTACATACTGTGAGTCTCCATCAGTAATGACTAAAGATATAATCAAACTCACAGGACAATATGAATGGAGCTACATATAATATTTTCAGCTGAATAATTACTTTGATTGATTTATAAAGGACATGTCCAGGATTTGTTTGCATGGCTTCAAAATAATTTCCCTGACTCTGTCTCCTTATGCTTTTCCTTTTCTGCAGCTTATCAGGTAACCCTCCTTTTTATGATGAGACAGAGGAGGAGAACACAGATCTACATAATCGCATAATCTTCTGTCGCATTGTTGCTGGGGACTTTGAGTTTGATTCTCCTTACTGGGATGACATTTCACCTGCAGGTACATGACTCCACCACATGATGGCAATAACACCCAGTTGAATTTTCAGTTATATGCTGGGTCCCCAGTAGCTTTAGGTTAAAGGAGCAACCTCTCGTGTCAGCCTTATCATCATATACTGTATGTAACGCTTCACAATTAAAATGGTAATTTAACATCCATTATTTAAGGCCATCCAAATTTGCTTTTTCTTTTGATATATTTCTTTTTAATTATCGCAGATGACACCCTTAAACTGACAGTTTGCCTTTGTTGTTGCTTTTTCTCTTTCAGCTAAGGACCTTGTCTGTCGACTTATGGAGGTGGACCAGATGCTAAGACTCCCAGCACAAGATGCACTTTGGCATGAATGGTAATTGCGTGTCCACAATGCATTCACATGAGCACAAACATTTTAGTACAAATCTACAGGGGCTGCACTCACTTATATGTTTTTTGTCTTGTGTCAGGATTGCAGGGAATGGTGCAGCAGAGAAGAACCTAAAAGATGGTGTATGCGCCCAGTTTGAGAAGAACTTTGCAAAAGCCAAATGGCGGGTATGAATACACTCTCATTTGCTTTCTGTAGCAGCTGGTAATAATAAGAGGACTAAGCAGAACAGAAACAGGTAGAGAAACCAGATAAAGGCCAGATGATATGACACAAATAATTATGAGGGTAATTGGTTTATTTGTAATGGTGATTGCACACAAACTGCTTTTGATTCAACATACAGCTCTGCTGATGTATGATTTAAATTTGCATGACATGTGGTGATAGTCATAAAGATGCCATGGGGACATGAATACAAGGAAGGAGGAGATCAAGCTGGTGCTCTAATAGCATAAGTAACAGATATGACCCTCTTCTCTCTTTCCTCATGTGGTTCCCAGGAGTTAAAGGTATTGTAGCTCATTGTGAGGGAGAGTGGAAGGACAGAGCATGGGCAGAAACTCGCATTTAGTCTGCCATGATTCAAAAACAGAACATCTTTCAGATGACTGAGCATTCTCTTGAATTAAAAAGAGGTTTATTTAAGTAAAATAGTTGACCAAAAAGCTATGTGTTAAGTTTCATTCAGCCTTGAG